AGCAGCGGGAGCAGCGGGAGCAGCGGGAGCAGCGGGAAGAGGAGAAGCAGCGGGAGCAGCGGGAGCAGCTGGAGCGGCAGCGGGAGCAGCGGCAGCGGGGCAGCGGAGCAGCGAGTGTATCGGGAGCAGAGGGAGTCCCGGGAGTATCGGGAGCAGATGGAGCAGCGGGAGCAAGCCGTACAAGCCGGGAGTGGGGTGAGTGGGAGGAGCAGGAGCTGTGGGAGCTGTGGGAGCAGCGGGAGCTGTGGGAGCAGCGGGAGCTGTGGGAGCAGCGGGAGCTGTGGGAGCAGCGGGAGCTGTGAGAGCAGCGGGAGCTGTGGAAGCAGCGGGAGCTGTGTTGGGCCAGCGAGAGGTAGCGGCGGGGGCCTCAGGGAGTCGTCTGAAATTCAGTGCAGTGATACGTGTTATTTTTACATAGCCTATGTAGAGCCACATGATTTCTGCATCGCGTATCACGGAAACATGCCTGAATTTGGCCTACCTCAGCCAAGATTATGCTTAAAGAGTCATATGAACGCCCATCAAATGACTCTAAATGAGCGTACGTATACCCGCTTTCGAAGAGGGAGTATATATATGATTGGATGTACGATATCGCTCTGCCAGAAGCGAGAGACCTAACCCCTCCATTTCAGCCAGCCGCTAAAGCAGTTCGGTCGGTTCAGGCATTTGAAGTTTCCAGAGGAAAGAGCTCGAATTGACACGCACAGTAGAAGACAGGCTTTCACCACCAGCCTTGCTCTGGGTGATCGAGCACAGCGCATGCCTCTTCCACGTTTGAGATCTTTTCGGTAAGACAACACTGATAAGATAAGTGAGCAACTACTTTGCACTTATAGACACAACTGAAACTAACATTAGTAACTAGTTAATTAAAATATTGTCTGAACTCGATTATGCGTCAGTCGGGTGTTAGTTGCAGTTATTCTAGTTAGACATTTGGAGTGAAACTCTGTAGTTGTGCACTTGCAAGTGTTTAACTCGATAGCTGTGCACTTGTATTGAGTGTGCAACTCCTCTGTTTGAACGCTGCCTTAGATTGGGTGCCTGCTTTGTGGGAAAGTCTTAGACATCAGTTACACACTAACAGGTGTCGACTACTTGCAAGTATTCACCTTGCGTTTGCACACTTGCAAACTTTAAGAAGTTGCACACTGTGTTTATCAGTGAATGTTTTTACCTTCTGTTTGAATAGAACTATAGGCATTCTGTTGTTTTTTTAATCGAATTTTTAAAACTATGTTGAATTAAATTGTGAGACGGTGTTGATTTATAATATAAAAAAACTAATTGGAATGAAGATAGGGAATGGATTTGTAAATGAAAACAAACTGACCTAAACTGTAATCTTTCGTTCACCCTTGAAAAACAAAAGGCTGGCGAGGTAGGACTCGGTGATAATTTACTAACTGTTTAGGGGGGCGTTTTAACAGCAAAAGAAATAACAACATTTGCGTATTTTTGGAGGTGGTGTACAGCTCGACAAAATTCATTAGCAGCCCTTGAGATAAATTGCCCATTGTGGTGTTCCAGTGTAACCTTGGGGTAAGGGACCGCCACAAAGGGACTATCTAAGTGCAAGTGTCCATAGGAAATGTTGATTGAAAGTCGTCGTCTTGACTCGGCTGACTGTCGCGAGTAGTTTGGGGGCCCCTAGGGGGGTGGGTCCCGGCCGGCGCCGAGGCCGCGACTGAGGCGCCACCGGTACGGGCCCCGGGTGGGCCGCGGGTGGGCCCCGGGTAGGGGCGGGGTGGTGCCCGGGGGGTGGGCCTGGGGGCGGGGCCGCGCAGCCTCCTAGGGGGGCGGGGCCTGCGCGCGACGCGAGCGGTGGCGCGCCCTGGGCCGGCGGCGCGGCGCGGAGCCGAAGCTCGGCCGAAGGCGGGGCCGGCGCCGTCCGGCTCGCTCAGTGCGGGCGGCGCGGCGGCTCGGGAGAGGAGTCTGTCTCGGAACAGCGCGGCGCACGGTCGGTCTGTGCAGAGCCTCCGCTCGGCCCGCTCAACAAGTGCGAGTCCCGCGAAAGTGCGTGTGCGTGCGAGTGAGTGAGTGAGACAGCTGTGCTGCGGCTTCGCGGCGTGGACTTGGAGGAGGACGCCGTCAAGAGACACCCACCCGTCACCAGGGGCGCGACGAGCGCGCGCTGGACAGCCCGACCTTTCCCGGCCGACGAGGACCACGACCACGCCGTGCACCAGGATCCCCACGCACGCAGCGATGTGTCTCCGCGTGGGGGCCAAGCAGGCCTGCTCCTAGGACCAGGTGAGCACGCCGCCGACCCCTGCCCGTCGAAGTGCCGAGTACACACACACACACACACACTCACACAGCTTATTGAGGGTCCCAGGCAGACCCGGGGATGTATCCCAACCAGGCTGCATCGTTGAGGGTCCTCCGTCAATGTGAGGACGACGGGATGGTCGTGCCCGGCAGAGTGTCGAGGGTCGCCTGCCGGCTCTTCCTGCTCGCGGACTCGAAACCCCGCTTGACCGCCCTCTGTGTCGCGTTTTAGTACCAGCGGACGGGCTCGGCGACAAGGGCCGACGCATCCGCGTCACGAGTTAATCGAGCCATCATTAAAATCAATTATTGCACGTGTGGCAGCCAGTCGATGAGTCTCTGAGCGGGTGTGTGTGTGTGTGTGTGTGTGTGTGCGCGCCGGGGAGGGCATTCCCTATCGTAAGCTACTGCTCTGGCGACACCTCACTCTTCTCTCTCTCTCTCTCTCTCTCTCTCTCTCTCTCTCTCTCTCTCTCTCCCTCTCTCTTCCCCTCTCTCTCCCCCTCTTCTTTCTCTCTCCCTCGCTCTGGGCGCAAATGCACCCCGGTAATTATGAAGGGTATTTATAACCGTGTCGTCCCAGGCGCGCTGGCGATGGAGCGGGACCCACCCCTCCCCGCCCCGCCCCGCCGCGCCGCGCCGCCCAGCGCCACGCCACTCGCGCATGACAAGTATTAAACGCAGCCAGTTGACCGGTGCAGCGCCCGGGTCCACATACACACACACACACACACAGGCACACACACACACGCACGGCCGTCCTTTCTGCAGATGGGATCAATTTACTTACCTTGCGCGGCGCGGCGCGGGGCGGGGCGGGGTAGGCGCAGGGCGCCAACTGGTTTTCTGCATGCGACCGGTGCGCCCGCCGGCCGCGCGGTGGTGCGGACCGAGGCGGGGCGGGGCGGGGCGGGGCGGGGCGCTCCCGGGTGTCGTCCGCGATAACGCAGTCCGCCTCTTGCGAGATCGAAGCGACGCGCACGCGGAGCAGAATCCCGACGACTGCTTGTACTCGAGAAAGGCTCATTAACGTTTCGTCAAAAACGGCGCAAGAAACGCGTTTTCGTGCTTCCTTATTGAAATTCTTTATAAAAGAGACCGATTGGAAGAAAACGAAATTATTTAGGATTATCTGGTGTGTTGGCATGCACAAGTAGGCTCTGGCTTCTTTTTTATTTTTATTTTCGATTTTTAATGTTTGCATTCTTTTCTTGGACTGACCCGTTGTGTGAAAGTCGGGCATGGACGAGCATAGACATTCTATAGAGGGGATGATGTCGAAACTTGACAGCGAAAAAGAACATTTGGAAAGGCGAAAGTGTATTATAATGGCTTGGCACTGTACTACACAGTGCCAATCGTTTTCGACAGCGGAACACAAGTGGCACGAAACTTTTACACTCTGCATTTCTAGTTGTAAAAAGATAGAATAACAGAGGAGCGGCAGGATTCGACAGGCCGAATCGCTGAAATGACCATTCGCAGCTGTTCAACTGGCAAGCCGCTTGACAGTCTTTAACATCATGTCGGATTACTTGTAAAGGTGTTTTAACATATGCTAATCGGATATCTTGGGAGTGTTGGACTCGTAAATACCTACCTCCAAGTAGTGCCGCCACGCGTCCCAGTTTTGTACACATTTTGGTTGGTAGCCACCCCTCTTTGGCGACATATGTGACCATACTTGGCAACATTCCCTTTTTGGCGACTTCTTTTTTATGTCGCCAAACTTTTGGTGACATCTGAGATGTCACCACAATTATGCGAGCAGATATGTCGCCATGATGGTGTTGTCGCCGTGTAACGTCACCAGAAAAGGGGTGGTGACAAATTTGTCGCCAAAATTATTGTGACAAATAAAAAGACCTTCCCAAATAAATGTGTCGCCAAATGTTGGTGAAACGTGTCACATTACAGATTACTGTGACTTTGCAAGTCGTAAGATCGTGACCGTCACCGAAATAAAAAACATCGTGACAATGGCAAATCGGGCGCGGGTGACGTTTTGCACGACGCGTCAAACTGATATGTCGGCGAGGTAGAGAAACTACTCGTCCGTGGCGCTTCCGATCGACTTCCTCCGCTCGGTTATTCTAACGTCGTGCCCCACGCCACCCCGCTTCGCCACGCTACGCCACGCCGTGCCAACGCTACTCTGGCTCCGGGAAAGTTGAAGTCTCCTAGGGGATTTCAACGCGCGTTCATTCCAAGATTATTACTTATATGCGCCACTTGTAAATATTGCAATTATTTGCAGCGGCAGCTTAGATTTTTTCTTCATCTCCCCGAACTTTTTTATTGTCGTTGTCTCTTGTCGTCCCCCCCCCCCCCCATCTGCACGTTAAAGGAAGACGGAAGACAACACTGCCGCACATGCACCCACCTCTCAGTCAGACAGACACACACACATACGCGCACAGACACACACGCACGCATACGCAGAGCCTGTTGCGTCTCCCACAAATGATGTTTCCTGTTTCTGACGATAACAGTGTCAATTTTCACTGTTGAGAAGAAGAAGGCCCTGCGCGCTGACTTCTTCTGCCTCTTGTGTGTCGGTGAGGGGGGCAGGGGGGGGGGGAGCACTGGGCCGGGATTGTGCACATCTGGACTACAATGGGACGCTGTTCGAGTCAAGCCACATGCACACATGTGCTCGCCAGTCACCAGACGCCCCGCCACACCCCGCCACCCCCGCGCCACTGTCCGTCAGGAAGCTCTTACATCTCTCTCTCTCACTCGCACACACACACACGCACATACACCAGGGTCACTCATACTCACACATAACATACTTTTCCTTTCACCGTTCAAACAGCGCTGCCACCATGTACATTTCTTCCTCCGCTGTTACCTCTCATTTCGCGGAAACATTTTGTCAAATCTAGAAACAACTAAGCTTTAGGTAGCCAGAAAAATTAAATCAAAATAAATTTTTAATCGATTTGCATTACTATGTTTTATACTCTGTCATGACCTTGCCATGAAGTTCCCAGCGTTCACACGTTTGCAAATTATTTTTCATTTGTAGAATTTTAGTTTATGTAGATTGTTGTAAGCGTGCGAAGCCGCACCAAATTGGTTGTAAGCAAGTGTTTGTTACGGCACGTCGAGGTTCTTTTTTTTTTTTTTTTTTTTTTTTTTTGCTCGAGCAGCGACGCGCTCGCACAACTTCCGACCATCTGATTTACTCATGCTTATCGATAATTTGCGAAAGCAAAGGCAATTTATTTATCAGTTCGCAAAGCGTGCGGCAGGACAGACCAAAACGTCCTGAACGTGCTCCGGAGCCCCCCGGTAGCGGCCGGAAGAATCACCGCACCAGCTGTTTTTCGGGAAAGAAGGCCGGGGGGGAGATGGGGGAGGGGGGGGGGGTGCCGGGTCAGGCCGACGGGATCCCTGGGTCTGGCCGCGCGACTCGCACATGTTTGTCAGCGGGAAGGCCTAAGGAGAACAGACAGAGAAAAACGTTAACACTTCCCGCTGCCTGCTGCAGCCCCCTGCGCTGGCCCTGCTGCCTGGCCTGGCCCCGGGTTGGCCCGCCGCCGCCTCTGGCCGGGGCTGCAACATTGTTCTCACAGCTTACTCTTTCTCTGCTCCCATCCGCCCGAAAGCCATAATCTAACTTCGGGCAAAGTTATAAGCGTATAGTAGTACGATCTGCTCTGGACGCGCCTTCTGTTTGAACCTGTCCTATAAACCCTCCTACTTTAATTTTTGCGTGCGTGTTGTGCGTGCTACATTATTTCTGTACGAGTGTTACACTTTTCTAAGACGCATTTTTAGCAGATGATACATTATACTCAACTGAAATCAATAATACTTTACTTAACTATGTATCATTGCTTGTACTCTCATGTGGAGCGCTGAGAGGCACCAGGCATGACGTCATCCAAAAGTGTGTGTAGGGGCGCGCGATGAGGTTCCCGCCGCCCGCCGTGCCCCAGCCAGACGCTCCCCCCTCCCTTCTACCCCCTCCCTCCGGCAGACTCGGCTCGCCGCTCGGCTCGAGGCGCAGCTCGTGGCTCGGCTCGGACCGTCTCGGCTGAGGAACGCGCGCGGCGCGGTAATTCAAACTCTAACGTAACTATGAAGAGACAGAACTAAATGAATTCAGAAACATTATTTTCAAACCATGTCTCTATTGAAAAGTATCACTCGCAAACTGTCTCTACGTCCCTCTTCACACTGACGTAGTCTTAGACCCTTCAAAACATTACAAAGTATAGGAGACGCAGAACACAACCCAAATCTTTTCATGCATGAATACCTAATTAAATGTGAATTAAGATTTGTAAATTATCTATATACTATACAAGTAATGCGTAACGTGATCTTCCACTGAAATATTATAGACTGGAATAATTCTTGAATTCGTATCATCTGCTTTCACGATCCGTTCCTGAACGGAACTTTTTTTTGTAGACTTGTCTAAAAGTAAAACAAAACGACCCCAGCTGCCCATCTTCTTACACACGCTGACCCTTGTATTACGTAAGCTGTGTTTTAGTCACCGCTGGTGCGACCATAGAGAAACTAGTCGTTTCTCTATGGGTGCGACGCTATTGACGCTAGGTTGTATGGGCTGACCGCTGCGGGTGGCCCGCCCGCAAGCGCGTAGGTGAAGTTCCGGAGAGTGGAGTGGGGTTAAGAGCGGGGGGGGGGGGGGGGGGGGCACCAGACACGCAAAGCCCTGTCAGGTCCAGGGCTTCAGGAGTCGCTTTAGACGGCACGACGTGGGCGCTACGCCACCTGCAGAATTATTGGTGTCTCGCCGTCGAACCCCACACAACTAAAATCCCGCCACACCCCGCCCCGCCCTGCCCTGCCCCACCAGTCTCAGTAATTAATCTATAATGGGGAGCCGAGATAATGCGGATGGTCACTACACCGTGAGAAATACTACTTGTGAAGGGTGACAGAAAACATTTCCATTTTGTGCCTTGTCAAATTAAGGTCTAAAATTGTAGAATCACAAGGAA